TGATTTTGGTGCTTTTTCATGAATCCCTTCAGACGATTCAAGCTGACGACGGAGAAACGAACAGCAGAATCCTGAGAGAAAAGACTGAGATACAATAGTCACATAACCGCAATCAGTGGTTTTTATAAAATACTGTTTAGTCTTCTCTCCCTCCAGCTGGGTCCTCCTCAACAAGTCAAACATCTTCCCACCTCTCATCTCCAGCTTTTCCCAGAAGAGCATTTTTAGCTTTAGTTCCCATGACATGAAGATGTTTTGCCCCTCAGCCAGATTCCTGTTCCATCAGGACATTTGCACTGTAGTCCTGTAATGGTCCACCTGTGAGCCAGCTCTACAGGTTCAGAGGTCCAGTTTCACATGTTTTCCTGATGACTCTGAACTACAACCTGTTGAGAGAGTGACAGAATATCTAAAATGTACGGTGTTTATCTGTGACAGACAGATCAATACAAATATGGAGTATAAAAGTGTTCCAGGTTAAGAATGAAATGCAGTTTTAAGTCAAAGCTGTCTGGTTTTATAATTAAAGGTAGTTATGAGATTCACAGGGAATTGTCACAGAACTCACAAATTATTATTAACTGTTTATTTACAGCTCTTCTTTTGCTTCTTTTGCTTTCAAACAAGCACCGTTCCGGAGCCATCTTTGTAGTTTTCTTATGTCACAGCTCTGGTGCTTATGGTGCGTTCCAGTTGTCATCTAAACTGATTTTTCCTAGATAAGTTAGCCGGAAATGGAGCAATGAATTCAGAATTCAAGCTGCAAACTTGCAGGTTTCACAGGACCCTGAGATCCCAAACATAAAAATGGCTGCGCCCGGTGCTACCAGGAAGTAGTTATTGTCTTCATTTCTTTCTCATTTTTATAGTCTGTTTTCTTTCTTTTTGAAAGAGGCGATAGGTGACGGTGGCACAGGAGTTAAAGCTGCTTTCTGGAGTTTCAGAAATGATGTATGATTTTTAAGAAATCCGTGAAAGCGATTGTCTCATCATGTACTGTGATTAAATGTAAGCAATACATCTTTTTTTTTTTGCTAACCACGCCCCCTGCCCCGCAGAGCTCCATTCAACAGGAAACTGAACGCCGACCAGAACTAACCAATAGCGTTAGACTACCGCTTATTTGCTTCAAATGTAAGGAATCCCTCGGCTGATGCAGAGTTGAACTTTGCACGGACAAGTAAGTCTCTAAAATATAAATATGAAAACACAACATGACATGAGAATAATACTCGTAAAACAACGTGTTTTAGCTGTTTGTCGGCCACAGAAGCACATTTCTAAACAGAAATGTGACGTTGTGATCTTAAACAAACAGAAGAACAGACTTTTAATGTGATATGCTTGTCAGCCACTAGATGGTGCCATCAAATAAGAGAAATACTCCGGAAAGAAGATTTAAGTGCTCACCCCATAATAGGAAGGTTGCAGGTTAGAGTCTCACTCAATCTGTCGTTGTGTCCTTGGGCAAGACACTTAACCCACCTAGCCTGCTGGTGGTGTTCGGAGGGACCAGTGGCGCCTGTGTATGGCAGACTTGCCTCTGTCAGTGTGCCCCAGGGCAGCTGTGGCTACATCGTAGCTCATCACCACCAGGGTGTGAATGACTCTAGAGGGTGCTATATCACATACAGGCCATTTTTGCTATTTAACAGCACCGCGTTGTTGTTCATTGTTGTTAGCAATAGTTACGTAGTTAAAACATTCAACATTGCTGTCAAAATGGATCGGTGTTCATGGTTTTTACTTCTCCTGGCGTTTATAGTTTTACATTTGATTTGTAATGTTTTTTTGGCTGTATGAGGCAACTGTTGAAGGACGCGTGTGTCACTGTTATTTAAGAGCAGCCTCTTAAACATCTTTATGCATAGACATTAAGAGTAACATTGAGTATAATCTATGAGATTATCAGCTGATATCAGTTCCATGTTTGGAATTTCTGTCCTATAAGTCATCTTTAGTCTTTATTTAGCCAAGCCAACTTTGTACATTTTAGCACTTTACAACAGCAGAAACCGACCACGGCGCTTAACACACGGTAGAAGGAAAATACACAGCATTACATACACAATAGCATTTGCATAATTCAATAAATTAATGAATAAATTAATAAAGTACCCATCCAGCCCTGTAGGGACACATAGACACATCCTTGTATGGTGGTTTGAGATCTGCCTCCAACCTGCTGGGGGCCCCAGTCCTCCGGGGCCTCTAAGGTTTCTTGAGGAGCTAACTTTATCCCTGCAGTCTCAAGGGGAATGTCAAGAAGATGCCGTTGAGAAGTGTAACACACACACACACATACACATGCACATGTGTACACACACACACACACACACACACGCATGAACACACCCATGCACGCATAACACACACACACACATGCACACACACGCACGCACACACACACACACACATACACACACACACACACATATACACACACACACACATATACACACACACACACATACACACACATATGCACGCACACACACACACACACACACATACGCACACACACACATGCACGCACAACACACACACACACACACACACACACATGCACACACCCATGCACGCACAACACACACACACACACACATACACACACGCGCACACACACACACACACACACACACACACACACACACACACACACACACACACACACACACACATCATTTGAATATCCAGCAGTTGCGTGCCATCACCGATCTACTGGCTAAAGTTGGTTTTTATGGTTGCTTGTTCATATTTTAAATATCAGGGGTTCAAATAGAAAAGACAAACATTTTCCACCTCAAAACAAAACCAGGCCGAAGCACTATAGCTGAGTAAACCATGAGACAAATCCAGTTCCACTGATCTAAAGCTTCTGACTGCTAACTCTTCTCCAGCCACATTCCCATTCCTTGCATCCTGAAAATCATGCTTGTTTAACCCTTTGATGCATAATGGTCACTACAGTGGACAGGTACTCAAAATTGTTATTTCTTTATTTTTGCTATTAAGCACAGCTGTTGAAGACTTTATTGCATGTGAGCCCCTCCATTTGGACTTCAGTAAGTCAAGCCACCATATTTCATGTTCAGAATGCACGCTGTACACTGAGATGGACATGTAATAAATTATTAGTAAATTAACAAAATGGTACAAAAAGTATTTGTTGAAATTTGTTTCATTCACACCTAAAGATGAATGAAAAAAATTGTTTAAAAAATCATGGTTGAAGATTTCATAATTCATGCATCAGAGGGTTAAGGCCGATGTTAGTTTTCTTCTGTCCACCAGATGTCCCCACTCTCCTCTGCAGAACCGGTTACTCCACCTTTACAGTAAAACATGGACAAACACAACTGACCAACCAGACTAGTCTAGATAGTGAAGATTGTTTGTGACTATGAGCAATAAGCATTTTCATACGTTCATCAATTCAAAACAATTAGTGTTAAATTTAACCCTTTGTTGCATGAATTATGTAAACTTCAACCATGATTCTTTAAACAATTTTTTCATTCATCTTTAGGTGTGAATGAAACAAATTTCATATTTACATAATTTTTGTAACATTTAATTTACACATAATTTATTACAAGTCCACCTCAGTGGATAGCGTGCATTCTGAACATGAAATATGTTGGCTTGACATACTGAAGCCGAAATGGAGGGGCTCACATACAATAAAGTCTTCAACAGCTGTGCTTGACAGCAAAAATAAATAAATAACAATTTTGAGTACCTTTCCACTGTAGTGACCATTATGCATCAAAGGGTTAATAAAATAAAATAAGTAAATACAATTAAGAACAAGTTTAAATAGCTGATTAAATACATCATTCAACTAACTATACTTTACAATACTATAAAATACAAAATTGTGTTATACTAGCACTACTGGAACTACAAAACAGTTTTGACAAATCCCAGTCTGGTTTTTGTGAAAAGCGTTAAACATAAACAGCTTTGCTTAAAGTTTCCAGTAACATCATGATGGCTGCAGACAACGGGGAGTTCACAGTGTTAGTATCGTTAGATCTGTCTGCAGGTTTGACACTGTTGATCACAGCACCTTAATTAGCAGCCTTAGTGACTCAGCGGGGATCGTTTGGGGCAGCAGTAGCTCAGGTGGTAGAGCGGGTTGCCTCATGATCGGAGGGTCATGGGCTCGATTCTAGCTCCCGCCAGGGGTATCCTGCTATTGTGTCCTTCGGCAAGACACTTCACCCAACTTGCCTGTGTCAGTGGTGGTCAGAGGGGCCAACGGCACCAAATGGCAGCCTCGCCTCTGTCAGACCTCCCCAGGGCGGCTGTGGCTACAAGTAGCTTACCATCACTAGCAGTGTGTGAATGTGAGAGTGTGTGTCTAGAAAAGCGCTATATAAGTTCAATGCATTATTATCGTTATTATCTCTGAAACAGTTCTAGACTGGTTTAGATCGTACCTTTCTAACAGAAGTTACAGTGTCTGTATAAACCAAATCATGTCAGATTCTACCGATCTGTTCTGTGGGGTACCCCAAGGCTCTGTTTTGGGTCCACTGTTGTTTCTACTGTACATACACCCTCTTGGACAGAAAACTGATTATTTTCATAATGTCTCATCATCTACACTCAACTAACGGATTATTAGGAACACATGTTCAGCTTCTCTTTAAGGCAATTATCTAATCAACCAATCACATGGCAGTTGATTTAAGCAATTATGAGAGTGACATGGTTGTTGGTACCAGACTGAGTATTTCACAATCTGCTCAGTTACCATATATTCCGGACTATAAGCCGCTACCTTCACCTGCGCTTTGAACCATGCGGCTTATAATGAGGTGCGGCTTCAGGCAACCAGAAAGGATGGATGCTGGAAAGTCTAATGAAGGAATGGTTAAAGGAGTGCTACAGAAAGCACCCAGGAGGATTTTTTTCACAGTAAAACGGCGCTGCTTGTTTTCCCAGCTTCACCCCGGGATGATGACAGCGACATGGACAGCGACACTGACATC